AACTGAAATAGTTTAAAATCCATGCGGTTGCCCAAAGGTAGACTAGTAGACCTTGAGACCTGAGTAAAGATTCTCTTCAATCTCTACAAATAAATGTCATGACTGATTGTAACATCTATTTCTCGTGGTTAGTAGGTGTATATCTGTTCCATTCTACTACATATTGCTCTTACAGTATTTCTGTACTACGTTCTGTACATCTTATGAACTATGTGTATATGGTCTGTTTGACCAACGAAGGCGTTTCACTTGCAAGATGAAGTGTAAATCTTATGAGCTACTAGGCCATACAGAAATTGTTTGCACAGTTACCAAGAGAATACATACTTGTGTTTAAACATTAGTAAATCTCTTATGTAACTAGGAAAACTTATCGTACAAGTGTGAACTGAAACTGCGTTCAGTTTTATGTACCCTTGTACCTGAGCTAGTTTGGAAATGTACTGTGTTCATAAAATGTGAGAATAAGCAGTCAAGATCTTCCTAAATGAGGCAGAAGTGAACATTGCTCTGGTGGTGACTAAAGTAAAGTTTACTTGCAGGTTCCTAGAAAGAATTTTGAAAATGGTCGTATTGATTGAAAAATAGTAGGATATGCTACGTGGATATCAGGTTTAGCTAACTGTAGATTACAGTACATTATTGAGTAATGTTATATAAGGTGTTATTTTGCTTTTTGTTGGTGGTGGTGTTTTGTTTTGTTTGTTTTTTTTTTAAGCTGAAACTTGTGTAACTTCATTTTATCTAATGAGCTCATCCAGTCATTGTCACCAATGTCATGCTCATTAGTAAATACAGCAGAGCTTCACACACATTCTTTTCACCTGTGAAAACCTGATCAAGCTGCAGCAAGTGTGCTAATGATGCTCCTTTTCTGTTTCTGGCTTCCTCCTCCTTTGTGGAGGAATTTAAATTCAAGATTACCTTTGAAAGTTGAAGTATGTTTATTTAAATTAAGAGTTAAACCAAGCATGAAGATGAGAAGAGATAGCACTGTGTGTCCAAGGTTAGGTTATTATTACAGTGAGATTGAGCTGTTCTGTGAGCGGCTCCTGGGGTATTTTTGTGTGGTCTTCAAGGTCTGTAGGGTTATGCCAAAACTTGGCATTTTAGCTGGTGCTTCAAGGTGGGAATGACACAAGAATCAATTTATTTTCTTTCAGAACTGGAAAGTCTGCTGTATGCGTTTGTTAGTTTCACACAGTGCCTTTGGAAAGGCTTCAGAAATACGGGACACGTTGAATTTCGAGTTACTACAGACTGGGACAATGCAAAATAGACATATAACACTGGATAATGAAACATTCTGCTTTAGACTTGTGCTTAGGGCTGGTTTTTAGGGAGGAGTTTGTTGTTGGGCTTATTTAACAAAGACTGAGGCAAAAACTGCATTTAAATACAATATTCACCAATACTTTGGGTGGGTTTTATCCTTTGTTTTTTTTATCCAAAATAACTGCTGTAAATGATTAGGAAAACCTAATCTTTTTCAACAATATAATTTTTCTTCAGAAAATTACTTCTGATCAAATAATCTCAATAGTAATGGAAAGATGTGTATACTGTATAAGATATGCGTTAGAAATAAGAACTAGAGAAGAAATGCAAAATTAGTATGACAGACATGAACGCTGGGCTTTCTGTCTCTTGATTGCTACTACTCTATAATACAGTATTTAACTAATTGTTAATTTCTTAAACTATTCTGCTACAACTCAGAAGATATTCTTGTTTCGTTGATATCCTATTTCCAGCTACATTCTCACTGCTTGTGCTTGACTTGCTGCCTTTGAAGTTTAAGATCTGTACTGCCAGCTCTGCAGCATGAATATGTACCTAGCCTCTTTTGTTTTATTTTTGGATGCAAGATATTAATGGTAGTGAAGTTCTTCAGTGAGGAAGATTCATTAACTACTCGTGTGCTCTAAATGTTGCCAGTGTTTGTTGCGAAGTTAGATGTTTTAGTTGTCCCAGCTTTCTTATGCTGTTTTCTTCCTAGTCATTAAGGAGGTTAGAAATAATGGGTACAATTCTCATTCACAGCATTTAAAACATTTATCTTGAATAATGTCCAAATAATACGAATAAATATGTACAAAAAATATAAGAAGTCCAAATTAAAAAAATGATATTTTTGTGTGTTAGTTATATAGCAAATAAAATTTATGTAGCCATACTTTAATCACTCAATATGACAAATAAGCAAATTATTGAAGTCATTTCCACATACAACAGGTACCACATCAAAAGCACTGTTCGTTCTTTAAATGTTTGAAGTGAATAGGAAATACTTTAAAGACTATATGGTTAGGAGCCACTTGAAGAACTTTCAATAGAGGTGCTTTATTTAGGTTCTCCTTTCTGGTATCTGCCTTTGAAGCTGGTGATTTTTTTGTCTCTTAACTGTGAATTTAATCTTCAACATACTAAGCACTTCCAGGTAAAAATTTATGTGGTCCAACCTTATAATTTGTTTTCCCTGTTGCTATATATCTGTTTTCTTCCATTTGCTGGTACTAGTTTTTACCTGGTTACACAGTAAGCAGTTCTAGAGCTATGCCAGCTGATGGGACTGTGTGTTTCAGAGGAGGGAGGAAAGAAAGGAAGTGGTTTTAGACTGTTCAGCATCCTTTAATTGAGCCTCACAAGCTTTATCACTTGAGGGGGAAAAAATAAAAAAGCTTTACTATAAAGCAGTAGTTGTGTAGAGCAATGTAAAATGGCTCTAGAAAAATATATTAATTGAAAACTGTTAATTGTCTTAAGGAATTAGAAGTTTACAATAACGTAAAGTTTGGTTTAAGATTTATACTTGAGATGTACATAGGTTGCTCTTGCAAGTACACTGCGGTATTACTGAACTCTAATTAACCAAGATTATCAGTCACCAACTGAAGGTAAATGTTTGTGATTTAAGTAGAATCAAACATTTTATATTCTCCTCTGCTTCACAGCATAACTTAAAATGAGACTGTCTTTGTGCCTTTGTAACTAACCAAGAGCAAGACGAGTTGATATCTTAAAATTCTTTGTCCTCATGAGTTAATGAAAACAGCCTAATATTACTTCAGGCTGAAACTTCTGTAGAAGTGTGATTAGATGATTGGCTTAATTCAAAGTAATGTTTCACCAAGCACATGCATCTTTACCAAGCATCTCTGCAACTTACATCTTCCCTAGTAAAGGTTTCAGTGTTTCTGTAGTTGATAACCTGCAAATTAGAGTTTATCCCATTTTAAGTTCTAAAAGAGCCTGCTGTCTGTGTAGTATTTTATCCTAGTTCATGTAAGCAAAAACTAAAGCAAGTGACTAGTTTCAGTTATTCTATTTGAATGATGCAGAAGGAGAACAAACCAGCTTTATAAGTTGGTACTGATTTAAGACCTGTCAAATTCACTGCTCGTTATGTTAATTTCTCCGGTCACAGGTAATTTACTTTCCACTCTTTGGATGCTGACGTACTGAATTCCTGCTACCTATTATTCTTAATTGTTTGTGCTGCCGTTAAAATTTGGGAGGGGCTTTACTGTGAGGTAGAATAATTTGAGAGGCAGATGGTAAGTAGAGAACTAGAGAAGGTGACAGTTTGGCTTTATCACTTGGAGGTACTTGGGGATGTTTGATATTTTCTTCACTCTTCCTCCCCGTTTATAGCCCTGTTTTCCAGCTCTCAGCTTCCTTACATAATTAGAGAGAGACCTACAAAGCTTAACTGTACTTAGATGTATATACTAAAAAATGGTTCCACTTGATAGAAATGTAATTTGCATGCTGAGAAAGCAGTAATTATGGTATAGGTAAAGCATGACAAAATATTTAGGTTGTGGTCAGTGGTATATTTGGAAATAATTAGGGATATGTTAACTTCTAAGGGTGATCTAGTTTTTACGTAATCAACTAAGGAGAGTTTGTCAAGCAACTGTACAAAATCCAATTAAAATATTAATACTGTGATGTTCAAAACTTTGTAACGGATACGGGGTGATTTGGAAAGCTGACTTTTCTATTACAGTGGGGTTTTTTTGTATTACGGTTGTTGCTTGTTGGTTTTTCTTATTACATCTTTATAGCCTGGAAAAGCAGATTGTCTATATTTTTCTCTGGGCTGGAGTATAGCATCTCTTTAACAAGTCACATTTGACATATTTGTTTGCAGTTGGGACTTGCAGTGCTAATCTTTAAAGCAGCAATTCTGATTTCTCTCTGGCTGCTTACAATCAGCTGTTCACTGTTCTTACTACTCAGCCCATATGAGGAATATGCGAGGAAAGACTGCAAGGTCAAAATCATATAATGTGAACATAGGAATTTCTCCTGGATCAGAGAATGGGAAATCAATCTGCTTGTTATTATGCACTGTGTCAGAATTCTAGAGGCAACTATATGTTGCTTTTTTAAACATGCAAAAGGTTATCATTCTACTGAAGTTACTGGAAATGAATGTGCCAGAAGAACATTCCTAAAGATCTGTAGTTTACTCAGATTTGCCTAATTCTGAAGGCCTGGAACTTAGTAGCCATTCTGTTGGACAACTTCCCTCTGTTGTTGTTTTTACCTGTTAATATAAATTAATGTATTACATGTGGACTCCAGAGGCTTAGTCTTTCTGACAGTGCAGGAGTTGAAAATGAGTTGAAAAACTATTAGTTTGTACAGTGGGTTTGAGGTGGTAGATCTATAGAAAACATAATCTTCCCCAGAGGGGCTGGGAAAATTACTAAGTATTTGTTCTTCTAAGTATCTTATTTAACATCAGAAATAAAATCTGAAACTTCCTCTCTGCTATGGGTCAATATGAAAATACATGAGCAAAGATGACCTTCAAACAAAGAACCCAAATTAGATGATTGCAATGGCTAAGGATTTTTTAAATTCTCCATTCTATCTTGGTCTGATTTTTCACCTTTAAAAAGAATAAATAATTCCCAGCTGATCATCTGTTGCATGCAGAGTTTCTGAGCTCACAAATACAAGTGGACTTTTTCTGTTCTCTTTGGCAGATGGTGATGGACGAAGTGAACATTTGTTACCAGTATGTGAAGATGTAAACTGTCAAAAAAGTGCCATCTACTTAACTAAGCTAGGAATGGATCAGGTATTGTTACTTTGAAATTGTCAAGGCGAAGGACTATGCTGTGTTTCAAGTTAATGAGAAATAAGAGAAGCACATTTTCTCTTCTGAGTAGTCAAACTTCTTCACCCGCAAAGATACTGTGTAAAAGATTTTTATGTATGTATTTTTTATTTATGAAATTATGGTTTTGGCAGAAAAACTTGCATACCTAGAAAACTATATAATGGATAATTCACAATGGAAAATACCCAAGAAAATTACAGAGACTTCTAGTGAGTCTTTTTCTTGAGTGCAGAACAGTGCAACCTAAGCACCAAAGCTGCTCTAGCGATAGATAAAAATAGATGAAAGTATTCCATTAAGGTTTGGAAATAGAGCTAATTAATTCAAATAAGTGTCTTCATGTCAGTTTAAATTAGAGAGTTATTTCTGTTGTAAAAAAAAAATAATAAAAAAATCATCTAATTGAACCAGCCCACACCTCTTAACCCACAGTTCTACAGCGTCTTTCATAGTTTGTAACAAAGTACATTTCTAAATGGTATCTGAGGATTGCTTTCACTGAGTATCTTCAAGGTTGGGTTTCTAATAAACTAATTCAACTTGGTTTGGGCAAGATTTTTCTTGTTTTGAATGACATAGTCATAAAACTAATTCAGCATATTTTGTTACTATGTATTAATTTATTTTAAAGTTCTGGTTCTATCCTTCCTTATCACTGCTTGTTTATTGTGACATTTAATGAAATAAAATGAAAAGCAGTTAAAACAGTTCCATGATAGCATATGATGTAATAAGTAGAAACATGTAGCAATTGAAAATAGATGTCTGTAGAATCTGTGGTTCTGAGCAGTTATGCCGTGGAGAGGCATGCAGTGGCACGTGAGGCTTTGGAGTTGTTGCTCTGTTAAGATTTTGTTTTGATAGATGTCTGTCAGTCTGCAGCGTATTTACTTCTTGTGCTGTTTTTGGCACAGCTGGATGGTTACTAGAAAGCCAGGCAGATCTAAGAGAATGATTTCAAAGATGAACTTATTTCATATAGGTTTTACATAACGTAATGATTAAATCTTTTAAACTGAGAAATTTTGATTTATATGTTTGCATTTCATTGTAGACTTTACAGTTGTGAAATGGCTTTTTTATGAATCCTGAAGTAAAAAACATGCAAATTTAATATAATCTTAAAAATTTCATTTTGAATTTTGTTTCTTTTAAAATAGTGTTACTGTATGTGGGATCATATAGAAAGTACACGATTACATGCAAATATATTTTAATGCAATGGCTTTGTTGGTCGTTCCATGCAAAGTAAAAACTATATTTTATTTAGTGTTTCTGATTCCAATCTGTTTTTCAAAGTTACAGTACTTCTCAACATCATTGATCTTTTTCATGAGAGTGAAATGATAAGAAGTCACCCCTTGAAAATTTTCTCAGTCTTTTTTCAAATTTATATAATTTTCTTAGATTTTTCAAACCAGCAGCTAACAGTAACTAAATAGGCACACATATTTTGGAAAGCAAGGGTAGAATATGACAAAGTATGTATAATCTCAAGAGTTTCCTGCAGTGGTGTTATGGATCTTCTTAACATCTGAAACGCTATGACTCATGCAGGCAAAAATGCATTATATGCATGTCTTGTTGATCTGTTCCAGGCTTCCAAGCTGTCTGTAATAACTAGAAAGAGTTCAGCTTAATGGACTTTCTAAATAATTCTTGGGGCTTTTCTAATGTGTGTAGCTGTGTGGAATCTCAAGAGACCAGTCCAAGTGAGCAGACAATTGCCACATGGCTGGAATGTTGCTGTGTGCAGGATTGCATAGTGAGGGAGTTTCTCCACAGCAGGAAACAATGCTGTCAGGAATCTCACTCTGGTTCCTGAAATAGCTAAGTTAGGGCTTGGGTGAGAGACATTTAAGATGCTCTTAAGTGCTATTGACATTGCTGGTAGTGATCCTTTAGGATGCCACACTTCCGTTCTTTTGAAGACATTATCAGTTAATTGACCTAGAAAATTCTGGCTTTAAAAATGCACTGAATTTTTCTGTAGAATTGAAATGTTAACTCTTGTACTTCAGTTTCTTACCCATTTGTGAAATTACTTCGATTTTAATTAAGTTAAATTCCTATTTAGCACCTGTGTAGCCCTTTGTGGTAAGTGCAGATAGATTCTGTTTCTTACGAAGGAGAAATTATACTTTGCATTTCCTTTGTACTTTCACAAATTTGATGACGGTACAGTCCTCTCCTAGTTTTGTGGGCTTTTTATGCATGTGTTCTGGAATAATCAAGTACATTGAAAAGATTTCATATTACATTGTACATTTGGTGTCAGAGTTAGGAAATAATCTTTATTGTCTCTTGAAAATTTGCAAACTGCTTCAGAGTCCTGACTCAGCACAGAATTGTCAATTGTTGTAGAGATAGGTATTCTTCATAAATGAAATGGATTTTCTTACCTATCTGTTCTTTTCTGACTTCTTTCACAGTGGATTCCAGTCTTGCAAGACTTCAGAAATAAAGACACGCTTTGGGGCTTTGTAAAAAATCAAACTGATAAAACTACATCAGAAGTTTCATTTCCAATGACTCTTCATATTGGAGATTACAACATGGATGGCTACCCAGATGCCCTTGCTATACTAAAGAACACATCTGGAAGGTAATGACCATTATATAGATGTTAGATCTTCAGTCATACAAATTATTAATTTTAGTGCATCTTGTTCATTTCATGAAGTGAACAACATGTCTGATCTCAGCCCAGGGCAGTACAAAGTGCTATTTTAGGCTTTCCTCCCTGGTCACAGGCCGTCTCTCCTTGTCCTTTCCCATCTTCTGTAAAAGAACACTTGCAATGTTAGCTAGTAACATCAGTCTGCTGAGAGTTCAGGGAAACCCATTCCACGTCATATCCCAGTTTATGTCCTCTGAATGGAGATTGCTGAAATATGTGATTGTGTGCTTTGCTCCTTCTGAGATCCTGATGTTTTAGATGCACCTGTTTGGTTACTGGTCACTTTATATTATCCAATTTCAATCAAAATAGAATCATAGAATCATGTTGTTTTTCTCCTTTGAAAAATTGTTAAGTCACTTGTATAATGGCATTTTGTTTTCTCATGGTGTGCTGTGATGCACAATTGGCAAGGTGGTATATGTAATATTTATTAAAGATACTTGTGTGCAAAGAATCTTTGCCATTCACTTCAGGTAAAGTTTTGATGTTTACAGTGTTTTAGCCTATATATTAAAGGCAAGCTACAAGTACTATTTTCATTTCAGCTTAATTTTTCTTTTGTAGTGAATTTTTCTTGCCTGCATTTTTGTATTGAATTCTTCTTGCCTGCATTTTTTTCTGTTTTTTGTATCAATCTATATCTAACTTTTTTATGAAGTAAGCTCAGTTTTTTTTCCCCCTCTTCTGGGTGCCTCCAGAACAGTTCTTTCACATTTAAACTTCACTACTGAAATGTACCACGATAAAATCGCTTTTTCCCTGATGAATGCATGGTTATTGGATTCCTTGCTGTGTGAATGTCATGTACATTTTTTCTTTTCTTGATTTCATCTTGCTTTCAGGATGTTTAATGAGGCTACTTTCATTACTTTTCCCTGTTGCTGATAGTTTACTTTGCTCCTCCTTATTTGTTTGGATGTTCTGTATAGTTTTTGTCCTCAGTAGGAAATGGCAGTACCTCTCAGCACTGCTGCAGTTTCAATTGATCTGTTCAAATCTCTTAAAGTTTTTTGAGCCATTTTGCCAATTGATCCCTTTTCATGGAAGGCCAAGCAACTTGTTGTTCAAAGATGAAATGTTCTGGTTTTTTAAAACGTTTTCTCGTGTTGCATATGCTTAAGTGATCAGAAGGTAATGGATGCCCCACTGAGAGTAGCTGGGATTTATCTAGTACTTAGTAGATCATCATCGCTCGTGATTTAGCTGAGGCAATAAAATTATCTTGAGCTCATGTAGGATGTGTGTAGAAATCAATTAGGCTTTTTCTTTTTTTATATTAGAGAGGGATATTTGTATTAGCAGGAGGAGTCCATGTTTGTTTCAAAGCACAGTAGAGGAATTTTTTTTTATTATTTTCTGGGGAGGAAAGAGAAAAAGCTGCCATGGCAGAGTATATGAGGATGAGGACCATTTCTGATTCAGTTTTTCAAACTTCAGTTTATTAATGTGTGCTGTCAAAATCTCATACATCCCTGCAATCACTGAAATTAATCAAAACCTACTAGGTCACAGCCAGAAAATGTGTGCCATCAGTGGAATATATACTGCAGTGTTTTAAATCTTAGAGGGAAGGAAAATAAAAGCTTCTAATGTTCCCTATTAACTTTGTCAGTGTACTTGTTCTCCTACTTTGCTTCATTGTTTGCCTTCCAGCCCTTTGTCTTGCTGCAGTCTGGTGTTGCGGCAGGTGTAGTGATCCAAGCTGGGAGACTGCTGTACATTGCGGAGTTAGTGATCCGCATAACTGTTGACCTGAGTTACAAGCATGCCTGTGCTGTTCTGCACATATCACTTGGCTGCAGGACAAACTTAACAGCTAACAGAGAAGCCTGTGGGCAACTCCCACTTGGCACCTGGTGATGGTCCCATTGGCGTGTCCTTGTCTTTACCTTGAAGTGATGTGTGTTTTGTGAACATCGTTTCAGTTGACAGTGGAAATGATGAATAGAATTGTTTACTTTTCAGAAAAATTCTAAAGGAGCTCTGGAGACCATAATGCCAATGAACCTCACTACTGATAGGATATGCACAGTATGCTGTGCCCTGTCCTTCGTTCTGTCTAGTACTGCACAATTTGTGTTTTCCAGCACCTGAAGAGCTCTAAGATTATCCACGCTAGTCACTTTTTCTCTCTCATGTCATCTCCTCTAAAAGGTATTTTAATCAATACCGTATGAAGTCTTAAAATCTTTCTCATTGGGATCTATGATGAATACTTGCACTAGTACATTACCGGGAAAAATCAAGTCTGCCACGGTCGTATTTATTATCTAGCTGTGTGTGTTTTATGAGAGTTGGGTGCAGGTTCATAGTTTCAATTAATTCTAGACATGAAAATAACAGAATCTCACTTTAATGCTTAGAAGAGTAGATAGACAGAATTTAGATCCTTAAGTCAGTATTAATTCAGATCCTCCAGTGGTTGCATAAACATGAGTGACTCACTGACATTTTTGTGTTTGAGCTCCTTGCATACTGACACATGCCTAAAACTGAAGAGCTGTGTGCTTACATTCTTCCTACACAGTGTTGTGATTCAGACACAGAGCAGTGAGCAACAGAGCTCTGCCACTACTTCTGAGCTTTAAGATAACTAGTATAGCTGTTGTTCTGTTTGGGTTTTTTTCAGTTGTTGTTGTTGTGAATGTTGTTTTTCAAATGTGTCAGAGAAGCTGGTGATTCTGTTACTGCCCAGAATCTACATAGACAAAGTTAAACCACTCAGACTGTGAATGTCGTTTTTTTCTCCATAGCCTTTCTTAGTTGGGATTTTGCATCTTCTTTTCAGCATCACTGAAATAATATTAAAAAGTCTACACTAGCAAACTTTAACTTAAGGCCCATAAATCTTGGTTTAGGGTCCGTATTGAGTATGTATCATGATGGTTAGGATATTTCAAAAGGACTTCAAGAGGATTTCAGAAGTACAGAAGTGGAGGGAGGATTAAGTTACCTTTTAATGTTATTGGGCATCTCTCTTCTCTGCCAGGATTATGCTTAGGGCAGGCTAATAATACGTAAATGTTTACATAGTTCATAAGTAATTACTCCTACAAAAGCCCAGGGTGTTGCCTGTCTGACTGCAGTGAATTACTGTGCTACACTTGTCTTTATTTTCTTTGCTTCTGAAATTTCTTATTCAGTTGGGTGTGCCTTAGAAGTTATTTCGAAACTTGACTTCAAAGTTGAATGGCACATTGTTATGCATAAGGACTGAGAGTACTGGCAGGTGATTTGACAGGCTGCACAAAGTAAGGTTCAGAGAGATGAGGAAGTCTGGAAAAAAAAGTAACTAAGGAATAAACTGTATGTTAACACTGTATATTCCCAATATTAATATGAAAGTAACGAAAAGATGTTCTATACCAATTATCAAATATCACTTTCACAGTACCATGAAGTCACTGTTTCTGAGAAACGCAAGCAAATGCTTCCTTTTAAAATGTGTAACTGGGTTATAGAGTAGAGAGAGTTAAACGTGTGGGAACTAAATTAGAAGCTCGTCTTAAATCAGAGCAAGTTAAAATGGAAGCCTTATTTAATTGATTTTAAACACTTCCGAATCAAGCTGTTTATTTCTTTCTCTGAAGCCTTTCATGCTACATCTACAAATCTAATTTCTGTGATTGATTACTGTGATTAAATGATAAAGCATTTTTGTCAACTCTTGACCTCAATCTGTGCTGTAGTTTAGAAAGCCTAGCTTCTAGATGCTAACTGAAGGAAATTAAAAGAGGCAAAAACCATTGTATTCATCTGAAAATATACTGATACATGATGATGGAAGAATATCATTAAAATAATTATGTTATACTTCTGGAAAGTACTTTCAGAACAATTCTTTTAAATGCCTACAAAACAATGAAATAAAGACATCTATTGTAGTTAGGAATAACTTTGGCTTGCTGGCTGTCCTGGTGAGCAAGTTCAGAAAATGATTAATAGCTTCAAATATTCATAGAGCTGCCATAAGACCACAGTGTTTCATCTCCTGCTGTATCCTGTATTTTCAATAAAGGCATGTAATGTTCTTTTGACTTGAGTGAAAACCTCCTCAATAGAATTCCAGTCTGCAGATTTCTCTTTAGGCTACATACGTGAATATTTCTTCCTTCTAGTTATGGCTATACTGGGATGTGTAACAGGTATTTTTATCTGTAGTTCCTGGTTTGTCTCTATTTGCTGTCTTGTCTAAATTTTATTAATTTTTTCACTTCTTGGTTTTAAATTCGTAATGTTGAAAGTATAAGTACTGCATATAAACCTATAAATACTTATCTTTCATTCTGCCACATAATTAGATTAAACATTTTTTAATCATTTGTTTCCAACTTGTTTTAATTAGATACTAATAATTGGCATCTTGAATTGCAAACAGGTAATCTAAGGAATCATTTTTTTAGTGAGGCTTTCATTCAGAGGGAATGCTTTCACTGGTAAATACTGTATCCCCAGTGTGCCATTACTTTATCACAGGCTTCGGTGATAAACAGTAGTCAAGATGGAGATATGGAGATAGTAAGAAACTGAGTATGGACAGTTGAAAGAACAGTTTCGAGTGTAATACACTTCTATGAAATTATGCAGGCACAGTTTAAAATCAGTGTGTGTGTGCATATATATATATATATATATATATATATATATATATATATTCCACAGATATATATTCAATATATATATATATTAGTTCTTTGCATGTGTCTACTTGTAAGAACTCTAATTAAACTAGATCACCTTTGCCTGAATCATGGTTAGTTTCATCGCCTGTCAGAGGCAAAGCCAGATAAACAACTTGTTTAAGGCATAGTATTTATGAGCCAACCTACAGTTACGCATTGTCTTAAAAATAGTTTTTTTGCTTGTCTTTGTGTTTGTTTCTGATGTGGAAGGGTAAAGGAAATTGGCATTTCCCTTTTAAATGATGCTTTGATTTATATCTTCCCTTATTCTCCCAATGCATTTGGTACTATTTTGATGTTTTCTAAGTCTTTGAATGCACATTACCAAGGAAAGGAGAATAAAAAGCTTCCTACAGTGAATAACCTTGTCTATCCATTCAAAAGGCTTATGATTTAGACTACAACAATATTCTGTATTTAAGTGTAATGCCATGTTTTCATCTTTGTTTTTGAAATAACGTGATAATTTCTAGCTGTTTGAAAAATGAGAATTGAAAGAAAGCATCTTTTTAAAAGTTTATGCAATTCTTTTTAAAAGAGTATGTTGAGGTGACGAGAAAGAGAAATTGAAAGAATTTGCTTAGCTCGAGTTGTCACCTTTTATAGTTGGATAATTTCACATGATACTGATATAATGCATGACATTAAATGCTCACATTCATTTTAAGTTGCAGTTATGAGTTCTCAGGTTCAGGTAATACACTGTCCTAAACATTGTAGATAGTCTAATTTGATTTATGGCTGAGCATTAATTCTATGTGCTTGCACTTTTAACAGTGAAATTACAAAAAGGTTTTTTCATATTAAGGTCCAGTCAAATTCAGGCATAGGGCAGAAAAACAGAGACCTTCCTTTTGTTTTTCACAGAAGTTCAAGAAACATGATTGTATTGTTTTGGGGAAAGTATTTTAATATCCCATTTTATTTTTTATGTATCTTTGATGCCAGTGCAAGTTTTGAAATACTAACTGATACTGTGCAAAGAAACTTACTTACTTCAGCATCAGAAGTATTTTTTCACAAGGTAAAGGTTTTGTCCTCCTCTAACTCTGAAATTGAGGGAACAGAAATGTGAATATTGTGAGTTTTGATTCTTCTTATTAGCAAATATTCCACGGAAATAAAGAAAACCAGAAACTTTTGTAAGGAGAAATGCTGAAGTTGCTTCTGCTTTTGACTGCATCCTGGTAGCCTTGGATGCTGTTAAATATGGAAAAACACCTTCTCATCACCCTCTGTGATGGCATTACGTTCAAGGTCATAATGAAGAAATGCTTTTGATTATGGCCCTTGGCTCTAACATGCATAGCTAGCCTTGCAGAATGCTGGCTGTTTCGTCTCCTGGCTCCCTTCAGAGAAAGAGGAGGAAACTTCATCTGTTCCCAGTGATGGATCCCTGTGGGCTTCCAGGGTAGTAACTGAGACTTGCCAAGCAATCTGATACACAGCTGGTCAAGTCCTGAAGGTTTTCACAGTCCTAGTGAGGGTGGTGGTCTTATGGTATCATGGACTGAGTATACACCGTTAGCCATCAGAGTACGTGTGAGGCCTGTGTCACTCATTGGTGTTTCCCAGTGAACAGTTAATGTATATTAGATGACTTCTTCAAAAATGAGATTGTTTGCTATACTACACCTAGCAACATGATCTGTTTGTGTCAATATTCTAGCCCTTCTTGTCCTAAAATAACAAAAAAGCACCAATTTGTTTTAGGGAGTACATAAGCTGAAAGACCACGGTGAGGGATTACAGAAAGCAGTAGATAGGTACACTTGTACTTGAGTCGGAATAAAGTAAGAAGAACAAAGTTATTCCTGCTGTTTTGAACCTATTTATTTAACATATTCATTAGTTTAAATCAGGCATGACATGAGTTTTGTGACTGTAAGGCTAGAATAAATGCTTATTAGTTTTTAAATGTCTGCTAGCTTTTTGAGTGATTTTTCAAATTGAATATATATTTCAGTTGGTTTCAAAATTACAAAGATATTGTAATTTATTATTTTATAGGAATTAAATTGTTATTTATACATAATGTCTTACAGCAATCAACAAGCATTTTTACTAGAAAATGTCCCATGTAATAATGCAAGCTGCAAGAGTGCACGTCGTATGTTTAAAGTTTTTTGGGAGCTCTCTGACCTAAATCAAATCAAAGACGCGGTCGTAGCAACCTTCTTTGATATCTACGAAGATGTAAGTTCAACTCTTCACTGCAGCAAAGTGTCACTCCTGTGCTGCTGTATATGTTTTGTGTTATTCTTACACTGCCATGTATAAACATTGGCTTTACAGCACGTGGCAGGCAGTGCTTTCAGACTGGGATGTTTCTGCATGCTGTTGAAATGCTCTCTGGAAGATGGGCAGGTAGCAGCAGCCCATTCACGGACTAAAAGTTTGCCAGCCTTCCATTTGCTGTTTGAAGTGCCCTCTTCAGTGCCATGGAAGACACAAACCTCGTGTATTATCCTTGTTATGTGTGGATGGAGGGTCTAATATTGCCATAGATTAATATAATACTAAATATATTATAACTGGTAGAGGAAAAGTAAACTTTGCTGCACGCTTTTTTTCTTTTCCTTTGTGTCTCTAAGGGAATTTATTTACTGAATTTAGATGCTATGTAAAGTAAATCAGCGTTCTCATTCCTAACTCAACTTTTTTTTTTTCCCTCTAGGGAATCTTGGATATCATTGTAGTAAGCAAGGGCCACTCCAGTGAAGACTTTGCTATCCATACATTAAAAAACAACTTTGAAGCAGATGCGTATTTTGTTAAAGTTATTGGTAAGTTATTACCATAAAATCAGGTCAAAATCAGATCTTGAGGGGAATGTGAATATTTGATCCTCTGTACATGATAACATTATGGTAATGCAGTGTGCATGGCAGTACTAGAAAAAAAAATACGGCATGGAAAATGTTAGGGTCTGTAGAAAGAGATTGCAGAATCTATACTTGGATAATTCATTTTTGTTTGGTTTCAAAGGTTGGGGTTTTTTCCTAATTTTAAGTTAGCATACTTGATTTCCAAGCAATTCTGTCCACTATTCTCCGTACTTCTGTTGTTCTAATATCACTTCACCAGTTTTTAATAACAGCTTTGACCACGACGTCCTTCAAGTAAATAAGTGTTCATTATCTCTGGGTGTGTGCTTTTACTTAGAAAGCAGGTCATATCTCACTTGTTACCTAGAGGCGGGCTAAATCCTTCCTTTCATTTTGAAGCTTTGGTTCTTCACTTCTGCATCTTAGCAAAATCCTAAAGACAGATATTAGATCTTTAAAAGATCTTCTGGCTTTCAGAGGAAAACTAATTATGAAATGTCAAAAATTATGATCTGCAGGGAAACTGAGTTATTCATTCTAAAAGTGAAATGTGAAGAAATTCATGTCTTCAATCCATGGTAATATATAACCATAGTGGAACAAGTGTGTGGCTTTCTGTTGTCCATGCCTTCTGTGATGGATATGACAGAAATTAACAAACTTACAACAAGAGTAAATAGTAAGAGTAATTTCCTAAACAGCAACTTTTGAAGTACTAATATAAATTCCTGGAGAAGCTGCAGAGTTTCCATCATTGGAGACTTATACAACTGGATTGAACAAACTATGTAGTATATCTGGTTTTGAGGGAAAGGGCTGGACTTGGCTGACCTCAAGGGCTCCCTTTTGTGAATCTTCTATATAATACTTTCACTTATCTCCAAATGTAACATAGTGCTGTCACTGTAAAAGCAACATAATTCTACACATATCTATTCTTCAGCATAGACTTTAATGTCTCGTGATATTTAAAATTTAGAGGAACATGAGCCTATTAGTCACTGACCTAATAAAAATGTAATTATGCTTATAGGTATGTATGCCATAACAATTCAGAAGAGATCCATAAGACATTAAAGCAGCATTGGCTTGAAGGAATGGGCTTTGTCTGTCCACCATGACTATTTTTTTATCTTGGCTATTTTCAGAATTTAGGCAAGAAACAATAAACAAATATATTTATTTTCATTTGTGCCTTGAGTGGTTGTGCTATTTTCTTTCCAACAAGGACTTCTGTCCTAATTTACTGGAGTTTCTCTTCCCATATCCTTTGGAAATGATGCAGAATCTAGGCCAAAATGAACTGGTTTCATTTCAGTGATCTTCTGCATGGAGCATATTTCATGTTCTGCATGATCTATTCTGAGAGTATGTTTCCATGTCTCAGTCAGTTTCGTGTTTTCAGCCTAAATTTATGTATTACATGGCATGAAATACATCTTAACAGAACAATTTAGGGTGACAGCATGGCAAGGATGTGTGAATTAATTAAAGCATTGGTTTAAAAGGCTATTGTTACGCTATGATATTTGTAATTGAGAGTAATTAGGTTTTCAAATTGCCCTACCATGTTTTTCCAGACTGCAGAGGTGTTGAGCTTTGAGCTCATTGCTTGGCTGCCCTCCTTCATTTCTGAGGAGGGATAAAAGGTAAAGCTGTAAGTGAACTCAGAGAAAACCAAACAAGAAGAACAGGAAGTTTGCTGTGCTGTGGAGAAATTGTGTTTGCCTTTGTGTTTAAATATACGTAATGATTCTGAACATGCATTCTGCATGCTGTAAGATGAACAGAATTGCATCTACTGGGGGCTAATTCATGTGTTAGTTACTCTGTAGTTTGGCCTTTATTTTCATCATATTAGACTACAATGATTTGTCATGCTGATGGAAGATGTACTCTTTTTAAATAATACTGAGTATGGATAGTGTAATAATCACAAGCATGAAGAAAACTTTCTAGAAAAATGCTTATTTCACAAAGCTACATTAGACAGACAATTGTGTGATATTTTGAATGGGTAATAGAATAATTTTCAGCATCGGTATTACATATATCTTAAAATTGGTTTGCTTTGATTTTTAGCACTGTACTTGGTATGCTCATGTTTTTGTAGAAACCCCAGAAAATGGAAATTAGAGTAGCTTAAAAACATTTCTGCTGTGTCACAGGAGGGAGTATTTATAGTAAAACAGGCTTTATACCCATTGGTGTATCACTAAATGCACTGTGTTCATTTATTTGGTATATGGACAATGAAAGTAGTCAAATGAACTTGGTCGGGTTATTTGTTCCCACAGTGAAATTGAACAGCAAATTGCCATGTGCTGTTTTGCATCAAAATAGGAAGAGATGGCTCCACTTGAACATGCATTTTTGTCCAACATACAACATAATTTGTAGCTTGTTGTCCATTATTAGATACAGGCACCATCTTCAAATTGTACTTTGCCATACCGTCACCTTAATTGTCCAGACTTTCTTTTTGACTGTATGGATACAGATTTTTCTCTATTTGGATGTTTAAAAATGTTAAGTCACAAACTAAAAATTTTAACTTTGGAATAATTTCCATTCAGATTTTTACAGAAAATACAAATAGTCCTTATTATACTAGTTTGGGATGATTTTTGATCAGACACACCGCTTAGTGCCTCGCTGTCACTGCACATTTGGTACCCGAGATGCGTCTAATATTTAATGTGACAGGATGTTCTAGGTTACAGAACAGATGGCTTTCATTGTCCCTTAGTTGATTATAAATGTTCAACATTTCTATAGTCAGCTGATTTTTCAAGCTGACAAGTAATTCAACAACTGTCATATGCTTTAGGTATTAAGAAGCATTATGCACATCTGCTTATAATACTCCTGAATAACACAGAATAAACAGGTAATGGGACTTGATTTGAATCAAGTTTAAAGCCTGTATTTGGGGAAAAGCCTTTACTTTGCTCTTTTCCAGTTAAAAAAACAAGTAAAGCTGAATTTCTGACAAGCATATTTTAAATGGTTAGAAGTAAAGTGTAATGAGTAAAATGTACAGTCCACTATGTTGTAACATTTTTTAATTTGGATTTTTTTCAACTGACAAATGTGCCTTTAGGAAGCAAGCTAACCAGTGAGGTATGAGAAAACAGTGATTAGCTGATTAATTTCTGCAAAGTAATATACTTAAGCAAATAAGCATTCTTGTAGTGCGTAAGTCGTAATGAATAAGATCTGTTTTGTTTATCTATCTTAATGGATACGTGACATCTAGTAGTATGTTTCAACAGATTTTTGAGGTTGTGCTTGTAAGATGGCTTCTTAATATAAATACTGTAAGCTTACTTTCTGTTCTTGCAGTTCTCAGTGGCCTCTGTTCTAATGACTGTCCTCGGAAAATAACAGTAAGTATAACTGTGTCTTTACAATACTATTTAGGTTTAAATAAGCTGGGATCTAATTATGCTGACAATCGTTCACATACATAACTAGGACAGTTACTGACTAGAAGAATGTATGATCCAAAGATCGACGGGCCAAGTGGTGCATGTTTGAGACTGTCTGTCTTCAGCTGTTTCCATTGACTGATTCTGCAGTGAGATTTGTTATGCAGCATCACAGGGGCTGGGTTATGTCAGGTACAAGAAAAACGTGTAATACCGCTGGATGCCTAATCCATGAAATGTGCCACATCTTGATCAGGGCAGTCATAAAGGTCAGGTAAAACACTGTGGGACAAATTCAGCTCTTGGGTGGTAGGTTGCAACTAAAGTCAGGTACATGGGTACAAGGAAGGAGGAGGAAGAAAGAGAAAGAAATGTACTTGGTTTTGATGGTTCTGCAGATTAGCTACATGTAGATGTCTTAATTCTATTTCAAATCTTTTAATAATCCCAGAGACCCTGAAAGCCACCTGTTTTCTGTTAACTTTCAATTAGCAAATGACAGTATTCAGAGAGAGGCCTGAAAGGGGAACTCGGCAATCAAAGTTATTTTTGCAGAGCTGAATTGCAAAAGCTGTGAACTTAAAATTTAGTTTGAAAACTAAAAAACAACCTACTTTGAAAGAAACCATCCTTTTCTTCAAGCCTATTTTAAGACATCAGATTAATTTCTGATAAAAGATATTAAGAAGTTTTTGGTAGTATTATTAGCTTAATTACCAAAATGAGGAGAAGGTTTAGAAAGCAGATGTTAAACAGATGTTGAACACTTGATAGTCAAGATTATTTCAATGATACTATTTCAAAATACTATTGCCTTCACTGTAAAAAAAAAAAAAAAAAAAAAAAACCAACAAACTAACATACAAAACTTAGTGTCATGAGGTGTATTATGTCAATACAAATACTTGGCCAAGACAATAATAATGCACATTTTACCATCAAAGAAGGTTCATCTTTCACAGTTCTGCATTAACATTGTCTTTTCTGTCTCCTTGTGCTTCACTCTGGCCAATTACTGTTTTCCAAGATTTGATACTGGCTTTCATCATCGTTACTTATTTCTTACGGTTTACAACTTACTATTTTTTGAGGCATGATGCAAAACATTCATCATCTCTTCTTCAGTGAACTTTCTGCATCTCATCTGAAAGGTCTTTTTACTGAACTCGATGTCATAATATTGGCTTGAATTCACTGTTTGAAGAGAAAGAAAAAAGAAAAATGCCTTATTTAAAATCTTCTCTTGTAGCTGTTCCCTGGCCCTCCCTTAACAGATAATTCCCCCCCACATATGCTCCTCCTATTCTCACATAGCTACATGTCACGGTTCATCACTCAGTAATCCACAACTCCCTTTGATTTTCCTTCCTTTTTTTTTTACCCCCATAACTGTACTTTGATGTTTAAGCACATCTTCTGTGAAAATAATTTATTTAAAATAGATATTGGTACCTGAAAATTAACTGTTCAGCTGTTTTAATTAAATAAAACATTGCTGGATATTGATAATAATTTTGAATTTCTATTCTATTTTCAGATTAAGAAACTCCATCAGAATGGAGCATTCTCAGAAAAATCTTGAATGAGTCCTCTTGTTTTTTTTTGTTTTTTTTTGTTTTCAGAACATGCAGTTACAATTTGAGGTTTTAGATTTTTAATATATTTAAAGCTCTGTAGGAAATATTCAACCTTTTGCTGTAGGACTGAATAGCTTTGCTTTCTTCATGAGAAACAGAATGGTACTTAGACAACTGATTAGCCTTATTTTGAAAATGAATTTCCATGTATTGCTATGGGCAGTGTAAGAGCAAGACTTCAAAATAATCTAACCTGCAGAAATCATTAATCTGTAAAAGTTTGTCTTTGATTTCATATTTTCATTATTAGAGCTTTGTCTGTTCCTAAAATTTTGCCTGCTTCTTTTCCCTCCCCTCTCACTTTCAGCCTTTTGGTGTTAATCAGCCTGGTCCTTACATCATGTATACAACTGTTGATGCAAATGGATACTTGAAAAATGGGTCAGGTAAGATAATCTCATAAGAATAGACATTGCTAACTAATGACAATAATCTAAGGAAAGAGATGTGGGCGTTTTGGGTCCTAAATCAGTGTTAATGCTCTCACTCTGAGCACTGTGCTCACAACTGTTTATTCTACCCTAGGAAATACAGAGAAATAACATGACGTCAAATGTGTACCAGATAGCTGCAGATATTCTGATACTCTGTAGTACTTTTGCATTCATACGTGCTTAAAGTTGGGCTTGAAATTATAAGGCTACATTTTTGTTCAAGCTAGTAATTACTGCCCATATATGAAAATGCAGAGTATTTTTTTCTAACTGTACAAGTTCAGTTCTACAAACTAATCCTCTAGTTTTGCTCTTGGCGTCACTGCTCTGAAAGGTTTCTTCATAAGCTAAATCTAAGAGCTTAGTTAGGAACACTTAAAACACCACAGTAAATCTAGAGATGTGTAGTTAATCTAAGAGGAGAGCACAGTGCACCAGGCCATGCCCTTAGGCAGGCAGTGCTGCTGGGTAACAACTGGCATATCATTATTGGCAGTTGCCAAGATGACGGCTGGCAAACTTTGTCAGTGCTGAGTCACTGTAGAGCCTCTCTTGTTAACCATACAAAAAAAAAATACTGGCAAAGGTTTGTACAAGATCTCTCTCTTTTTCCCTGGATTCCTGTGGATGTGAAACTTACTTCAGTATGCTGTCTTTTTGGTTATTTGTAGTCCTAAATAACTTGAATGCACTAGCCTACTGAAGCGAAGCGTAATTGAAGAATATGTGCTGCAAGTAAAACTACCGGTTCTGTAAAAGTCAACAGTTAAGTAGAAAACAAAATTCCATGTGAGAAAAAACTCTTTAAGTAGAGATCAACAGCTATTTATAATGTTTTGTCCTCTGACTGGCCGTGTGGTCAATGTACAGTTGGAATTAGCCATAGCTTGAAATGTTCCTGCCCAAGCAGTGGGAAAGGAGTACAGCAGGGGAAAAAAAAAGAAAAAAAAGCTTAGTGTACTCTGGAGAAGTTATGAAGAAACAGAAGAGAAGTCTGAAAGATGTTGCACGTTCCAGGCAGGAAGTAGGCCTGCTTGTAGAAGGGTGCAGGATTTCTCACCATGCAAATCCAGATGTGTTTTGTTTCACACTTTGCCTTGGTTTTGAAGGCAATTTAATTAAAGACAGGTTTTTAGAGATTGATACTGTCTTGTCCAGTGTACTTTAATGCTCACTGGTGTACCTTTTCTGCTCTGTACTTTTTAATGACTGGATATCTTGTTTTGAGTAATTTTGCTTCCATTTTGCATATTGACTGTAGACTTTGTGAGTAAGTTCTGTGGAATATACTAAGAATGCTAAGAATACTACATAAGAATACTGTTGAAGATGAGCAATTTTATTGTACCTATCCCTTTCTTCAAAGACTTAAGTGCTTGCTTTTCAACACAGCAAAACTGCAAACAGCTTGTAATTATCTTCATATCTTAATAAAAACTCTTCTTTCTTTTCACAAATTTGTTTAATAAAAATTAATCTCTTCTTTCTGCTGTTATCTAAGCTACTTGCAGTTGACTGCTGCACCTCTACTCTTCAGGGCTATCTTCTGAGAATATGGATATCAGGTATCAAATAAAGCTGCTTTTGACAGCTGTTGGTAGAGTTGCTGGAAACTACTGTAATTTCTAGATTACAAAATTTCTTTCCAGCCTGCCACTGGAAGTTAGTTTGGTGCATTCTTTGAATGAACATGCATCTAAATGAAGAGGTCAGTGAGTTTAAGGAAGTGTACTGTATTTATTCCTCCAGGCTCCCTTGTACTTAATGTGCCTGCCTAAATTTAGTACACCTGCTGAAGGAAAAAACAGCTTCATAATCCCTTTGGCCATATGTATTTTCAGTAGATATGTATGCACAATCGTATTATCAGAAGTGCAGATAGCAACAAAAAAGACTTTTTTGCATAAATGAAGAAATGCATTAGTGGCACCATCAAACTGATCTTTTCTTCATTAGCGAAGAGCTACAAAATGACTATAAATCAAATCAGCTATAACACAATCTCTGCTGAGATCTAATTGTACTCATCTAGATGCAACGTTCATGTAGTCAGAGCAGTTTTTCATTCTGTTTATTTGTACTTAAAACTATCTCAGACTTAGAAGTCTGATATTTCAAGTGAAGTCATACTATACATTTATAAGACTGCATCTAACAGCAGGTAGAATCTATATTATCCAATTCCTTAAAGCACTTTCTATTTGGGATACCAGAAATTGTAACTGTAGAGGATTAGAGGTTGGCAGATCTGGATGGTTGATCACAGAAACTCACGGTTGGAAAAGACCTACAGGATCATCCAGTATGCTGCTTTTTAAAATAAACTTAATTTGTATAAATCAAGATACTTTAAATAAGTTCATTTGAAACTTATCTTAAGGAAACAGAGAATTACAAGTTTAGATGGGATTGGTTTGTGTGCACCCGTTATTTCAGCAATCTTATAAGCCAGTGGGAAAATAAAGATGTTCCAACTACTGACCTCTGTGTCATAGAAGAATGCTTCTAACTTACAAATTCCCTGTATCTGCAGGGGAATGAAGCTGATTTAAAATTCAGACCTATTTTACGTGTCATTTTCTTAATCTTGGGGAGTTGGTGATGTTGGTTGTTTTTATTTGTTTTCTGGATCTCTTTTTAAAAATGATTGTCCTAGGGTTTGGTAGTTCTTTTCAGGAAGATTGCTTTTAGGAATGCAAAGTTCAATTTATTTACAGTTTACTATGGGAAATATCTATCAAATATAATTTCATACTGCTATAGTACTCTCACTCTTCACTTCTACTATATTTGCAATAATAAAAACCTAACAGAGCCCAATCATGATTAATTTCCTTTTTTGTTCTGACATGAAATAACAGTAATGAATTCCAAGTGCATTTATGACCCTCACAGTACTGCTAGAGGGAATTTTGTAATACTCTTTGATCAACTTCTTAGCTGTAATGTGTTAATAGATTTTTTGAATCTGTATAATTCCTGCAAGTACTTCAGTCACATTTTCTGAACCTATTATATTAAGTTTTTAGCTAAAGTTTCTTCTTTCTTAAGTCCTACTTGTAAAATTCAGTACATGTACTTGTAACTGGAATTATTGGCCTACAGGTTATTATTTTGATATGCATTGTGTTACAGCCAAATCATATTCTATCTGACTGCCAAGGAAAACCACAAGCGACGCTTTCATATATATGTATTGGCTGACAGTACCAAACCCAGATGGCATTTTTGGGCCATGTATAAACCTAAGAAACGTCTTTTCCACATTGAGCTTTGAAAGTATGGCATCTGTATAACATCTTAAAACTAATTTTTATCAACTTATTTCCATTTTTTTAATATAATACATATCCATAGCTATATCTAAAGCTTTTAATTTTATGAAAGCAATAATGAAAGAATCTTATAGTTTATAATTACCTTTTCTGTATATCTATATATACCAGTATATATTCTATGTGTCTATATAATCTCTTTCCAAAAAAGTAATATATAACAGTGTCGTTCTTTTTCTAATGAAAAGAACATTCCACGTTCAGTTTGTTTTCCTGTCACTGTTGCTATTTGCTGTGTTTACCAGAAGTTTTACCAGAGGAACAGTTATTGGTTGGACCATCTGAAACCAAACTGAAGAAGAAGAATGGTGGACATTTCTATTTCTGATGTTCCTAATTCTGCAGGTCTTTAGTTGTGAAATACAGTATCTTTTATGAATGCAATATTCATGCAAGCAGTAGAATAACAAGGCACATACGGCTGTCCTTATCAATTTCATTTTGAAGTTCTTTGATCTGCCAAGTCTTAACTACAGCAAATTTGCACAATTGAGAGGGTTTTTTAAAACGTTGTTAGAATTATTCTCTCTACTGTTAACATTCCAGTATGTTGTTAAAAGATAGCAGAATAATAATTAGCGTGTGTTCAGTGCTTTTTACTTCTATACTCCTCAATTTGCCTGTAATCTTACAACAAGAAATATTGTTAAATTAACTAAAAGGAATAGCAATTGCCAAAATGAGCATAAGTATTGGGTCTTACATTTTCTGTTAACATCTCCACAGACCTTCTCTGAGAAGCAATTCAAGTGCAACAGCTTTTTATATTGAATGCATTTTATGATCAGATCAGGTTCTGGTGTAAATCTGGGAGAGGTGGGTAAACTAATTTCAGCCATGTCTTCTGATCCTGCAACCTGCCTTTTCCCTTTCTTTTTCTCTTGGAGTTTCTATTTTTCAGGAGTCTCAGCTCCACATCTGTATTTCCAGGTTTTTATTTGCTTCCAAGGATCTTATAATATTGTTCTGAGAGAGTTTTTCAGCTGAATCCTTCAACCAGGAGTACCTGGAGTAAGCTAGAATACAATAGCAGAACTTGAGCATAGAGTAAATTAAAGCTATTTCTGTGGCATGGTGGAGGTGCGTGAGCTGAATCTATTTACTAACAGTTCTACCATGGCTAAACTTAAAATGTGACATTTTTGCCAGCTGTTGTACTTTGCAAATAATGACTTTTTGTGTTTTCTTGAGAAGACTACTTAATAAGTTTGATTCCATTTATTTTGTTATCAACTGAGTTTCTTAGAATTAATATCCTTGTGGGCTCAAAATAATGTAAATTGGAACAGATTCTTTATATAGAGCAGCTGGTTAATTTACTGAAGTATTTTGAGAAACTGCACAAGGACAATTTCATGCTGTAGCACCAGCACAAGAAGCATTTTACATCTGTTATTAGATAGTTGCAAAGGCTGAACAGCTCTGTAGAAACATCATACCATGAACACCAAGCTACCTTTAGCTATCACCTTCTTTTTATTCAGTTTTCTCTCTGCTACCTTTTCACTACACTCCAATTTTTCTGTCCTCCTGCTTTTTCTCCCTCTGCCATGCAACATCTGAGCCCTCAAATACCTTCACTTTCTCTCCTTTGTAGGCGAGAAGCCTTGAAGCGTG